ATAAAAGCATCCTCCATTCTCCTTCGCTCTTGGTTTCCATGGAGACAACACCCTTGGTGCCTTCAGCCTTAATACACGTCTGCATCTCTGCACATGTTCTCCTCCCTCTCTCACAGATGCTCTTTTGCTCTCACTCATCTCATTTTCCCGCAGCCCCTTCGCACCATACACAAAATGATCAGATTTTGAGGGTGAAATCACCTCCATTGTCTCATCTAATCTCTCTTCTTCTTGTTTTAACCCCATCACGCTCGGTCGCTGATCCCATCACCAGCGCTGTGTCTTCCCTCTGCGCCACAGATGGCAATTTTCCCATGGTTCCCTCAACAGCCTTTTCACTGACAGAGGAAGAGTTCATTATCCGCGGCCTAACTCGGCTAACAATGCGCTTTATGAGAAACATTTGCTTAGACACACAAACGGATGTACCAAGCACACGCACACACATAAACACAAACACACATCCAGTCACACACAGGCAGTCTAATAGCAACAGACTTCCATTGTTGCCATCATATTAAAAACACACAGTCATAATGACATTAACGGAGCAGTGGGGCCGCCTGGTTCTCATTTCCACCAACACACACACACGCACAACCAATACACATACAGTAGGGATCCATTGGAGCGGAGCAGTGGAAGCGAGCAGACTAATGGCAGCCAGTCTGTGGTTAGCGCTGCTTTAAATACGCAGGAGCTCGGCGTGTGAGGCGAGCTGATGCCAGGGCCTCTGTCTCCACTGGTGACATGTGTCAGACTCGCCTGCCACATGTCAGGAACAGTTTATGGAAACGCTGCAGATGGTTTTAGGTTTTTAAAGGTGCCATACGAGCGCTGCTGTTTACTAAAAAGAGCATCGGGCTCGGCCACAACAGCAAACACGAGGGCAGTTATTATGTTACATACAGTAAATATAGTCGCGTGTTGATGGAGGAGTTGTGAATTCGACGGCCATGTTTGTTTGACTTCTGCCTCTGTTTTAGGTCTTAATTTGTTCTGTCAGTCACACTGTAATAGAACCATTTTCCAATAAACTTAAAGAAGAATAGTTTAAACAACATTTAGGTCAACAAATAAAAAGTCACCGGGACTGAGAAATGTGAGTGTAGCACTTTTTTTTTTCCAGTGCATTTTGCAGTTTTTAAATGCAGCTGTTTTGAAACTAACCCACACATTCACTCTTAGCAAACCACAGAGATCATAAATGAAATCTAAAATACCAAACATAGCAGCTGTAAACAGGAAGAGAAAACTACAGCCGTGACAGTCGCTGCCTGCAGGAGGCAGACTGGAGGTGCCAATGCTTTGATGGATGTGTTGGATAATTTCATAAAGGTTTATGAGCGTTCAGAACGATTCACACACTGTTTATACTAATTTCAAAAGTGACGTTTAAAAAACAAGGTGTGATGCAGCTTATGAAAGTGAAAAAGAATATACTGGGTCAGCAACTGAATATAATTTATAAATGTGATGACTACTCAATACTTAATGTTGATATTTAAATACCACAGTATTTAAATCAATACTGTGATGCAGGAGTAAAACTGATGAGATTTTCTAATCTAAATCTGCAGCGTTTTCAACACATTCATGTATAATGAGCAGTTTTGTCCGTGACATGTTTTGATTGAGATATTATTTGTTTAACGCTCCACCAGGTACCAACAGCGAGCGTGACCATTGAAGGAGCATCGGCCCTGAACAGAGTCCGCTGGGCTTCAGGAGGGAAGGAGGTGGCTGTGGGCGACTCAGAGGGCCGAGTGTGGATCTACGATACTGGAGAGGTACAGATACGATTATAACCGTGCTCACATAATAAATTCACCATAAGCGGAAACATACCTTTATACAAAAAAGCGCAGGGTGAGTGCTCTTTGTTTTAAGGTACAGATTTATCATGAGCGAACTACAGAGATCAGAATTTATTGTAGTTTTACCACAGTGTAATGAAACATTTTAGACCCTGTAATTGGATTTAGTGTTCTCCCTAAACATCAGTCACATCTCCTCCCCTTCTCCTGATCTGACCATAATAAGGTGTTGCAGCAAATAGAGAAATTATTTTATAGTGACTGAATCAAGTTTTATATTCCTGCACTTTCTGAGTTTTCATAAAACGAACTGTACTTTCTTGTTTTTCATGTACATGTGGTCGCCTGCGTTTGTTGAAAGACGTGAACTAAAAGAGTAGAAAGAAGTGCATTTTAACGGCAAAACCTCCACATGTACCACAACCAACAGTTTTAGGTCTTGTCAGCCTGTATGTTTACTCAACTGACAGCATTGCCATTGGACGTATGTGATTTTTTTTTTCCTCTCTCCTGCATCCCTGTAAAACAGCCTCCACATGACTTGGCCATCGCCACAAAAGCGGCCAACCTCCCTGCCTGAGCCCGTTTCGCTCTCTCATGGTCGGAGGGCTCTGGTCAGGATCCCCATGTGAGAGGAGCGTTGGGCTAGCAGCTTGGCTAATTTTAGTTTCTGGAAGAGAGGCTCAGCTGAGCCGGTGGCCTCCACGCTGGGTGGATGGTAGCGGAGAGTCAGAAGTGAAGCGGGGTTGAAAAGTTTTATGGCTCCAAAAGAGGGCGTGTGTTTGTGGCGGTGGCGATGGGGGTATTTTCTTCACTACTAACCCCCGCTACGGAGCTAAAACTAGGAACAGCGTGTGCAGAAAAAATAGAGATGCCTGCAATTCCATCCAGGAAAATCAAAATATATACTTTTAATTCAGTATTATTTACTCAGTGCACATTAGTTTTAGGTCATTTATGCGGTGGGTTTAGGAATGTTTTGATTAGACCTCTGCTTCAGATCGGATCAGGGTCGTCTGATGATGTTGATGACATGACAGTGTTTCTTACACATTGGAGCCTCTGGTCTGTTAAAACACTGCTGGTGCTGACGTCGCTCCGGCACCGGGCAGACGATGCTCTGGCAGAGCCCCCTGCTGCGGTCAACCCGGCTCTGTGGGGGGTTGGAGGGAAGTGGGAGGAGGGGGTCAAAATGGCTGCCTCCTCCCTCCTCCTGGTTCCTGTTTAATTACAGCCTGGCCGTGCAGAGTGGTTGCAGACAGCCTGGGTGGCGGCCGCGGCTTCTGTCCCACTCGCTCTGACTCCCATAGTGCTCGGCTCTTAGACACTTAGAGCAGTGACGTTCAGTCTGACTAGTCCTTCATTAGCGCTATGGTCTCTGCAGCTCATGCAGATTTTTCAGCCATGCTAGCAGCCCGGCTCGAGGGATGATGTTGTCGCTCTGCGGAGCCTCACTGCTGATGCAGTGAAGCCCTGATGCCAAACACTGCAGAGCAGTTAATGATACTAAGCAATATACGATTTTACAAGTCTAGGAAATGATCATTGCGTCAGCTATTTTCTTTGTTGTTGCGTCAATTTAAACAGTTAACGTTATAAAATGTATCTACCAGGAATGTGCACTTGCATGAGTTTGACTGGACAACACAGTTTGTTGCCAGAACACATTGCATTGTGGGAGAATTTGAGCCTGTTTCAGCCTGGGGCCCTCACATTTTGGTTGATATTCTTTCATTGTGACAATAATATCTAGAATGTGACTCAGTAGCATATCTCCAAGACCCAACAGTACCCTTACGATATTTAAATTCACTAGATCCAGATTTTTATTTGGTTCTGCACCAAATTGCGCATTTCATTACAAGCAGTGACAGTAGTTCTATAACCAAGCAATCATCCAGGTGTGATTCCCTACATTACCACACAGATGTTTCCAACCAGTGCTTGATGCCACTTACCTTTTACCGTTCCTGTGATGCTTCTTTCAGCTGACTGTGGCCCACACAGACGACTGGGGGCGCTTCGCCCGCACCCTGATGGAGATCCGTGCCAACCGGGCAGACGCCGAGGAGGAGGGTCCTATGGAGCTGGCTTCATAGGAGTGAACTCTGACCAAAGCGCAGCAAATCAGAGACCTGCTTCTATTGGTGTCACTGTAGCATGTGCTTCTCACTTCGTTTAATCTTGTCTCTCCACCTTTGTCTTCATGTTCCTGTCTGCTCCACACAAGAGCTTTTATTGTATCGTTGCATTTGCTATCCTGTAAATGCAAACTGTCTATAATGGGTAAACTGTTGATCTCCACACTTATTTATACGTTTTACGACTTAAGGTGACATGTGGCTTGCGGCTGGTGAGCCTGCAGTATTTACAAAGTGGCAGTCTTATAGCCTTATGAAGATGTGTGTACTGTAACGACGCTTTGCACTAATGTGAAAATAAAGCAGGGTCCATAGACTAGTCATGTATTGTTTACAAAATGTCACGTTCACTTTCTGTTGTGCTTCTCTCTCTCTCCGTATCGAGCCTGCATGCGACACATTCCTGAAATATTCCAGATGCGTAAATACGGAGTTAGTGTGGTGACGTTTTCACGCGTTGTGGCTGCTTTGTGTCAGAAAAAGAATCGCGTGTGGCTCGAGCACTTTTTCTCTTTTGTCCTGAATGAGATGTAAATTATTTCATGAACTGTGAGTTAACAAGAGGTGCAGTATGTTGTAACGCAGAGTGCTCGCTGTGAAACTGCTATGTTTACCATTAAAGCATAGCTGAGGTACTCATGTCGTTCTTTGTTCATTCAAATCATAGACCTTAAATAAAGATGGACAACGTATCTCCACCTCCTTCCACTATCCAGCCAACAAAGCCAAAATGTCCCCGATGCGAACGCCATCTTGCCGCAATGATGTCATTTGGAGACAGATTCCGCACATCTTGTCCCATCCACTCACTGCAGGAAGCAGGGTTTATGACCTATACTGGAACCCGCCAACAGGGGGTGATGAAGGCACTTTGGCTTCACTTTTGGGAACTATCATGTCATCCATCTTTATATACGGTCAGCAGCTCAAACAATGTGAATGAAAACTCCAGCAGATGTTCAGTTTACTAATATAAGTTTGTCTTTACTCACATGTTGCTGCCATACGTACAGTAAGGCACGTTTATTATTACTCACCATATATAACTCCTACTTTCTCTGCACTGCTCAGTTTGAAATACTCCTGACACTCTACAGCGGTGCAGCTGGTGCCAGCTCTCTCTCTCTCTCTCTCTCTCTCTCTCAGATATTTACACATCTGTACACGTTTAGACTTGAAACCAAACATCTCACAACAGTAAACATTGTGTACATCACACTCTTTACATTCTACTTTCTGGTCAAATTCTTCAAGATACATTCAATCAAATGTGCAACTCAGGACCAAAAGAACCGTATAGATATGAAAATATGTCTTTGTATATCTCATATACACAAGTGCCACATGTTTGATCATATGAGGAATGTGCTTTTGAATAGAAAGCAACAATATGAAGACACTGGAAAAAGCTGCAACTGTTTGTAGTTTTTGATACTATTGTCCAAAGCAGTTAAGTTATATTTAAACCTCTTTCAATTAAATATATATTTTCCACAAAACAATAAATAACTTTAAATTAGTGACTTAAAATACTATGAACAAAATATTTGAGCCCTCTCTTTAACTCACCCCCCCTCCCACTCGTCAACTGACAAACTCAAGGGGCGTCAGCAGGGGCTGCTGCTTCTGCTGCTGCTGCCACAGTGTAGCGTGGGAGATGGAGTCCAAACTTGCTTTCAATGCCAGCGAACGTGGCCACGGCCAACCTGAAGCCTCCGATGTGGTCGGGGTTGGGCGCCGGCAGGCTGATCCGAGACTTCGGGGTGGGCTCCAAGCCAGCCGGCTTTCTGTGGTGAGGAGGTGGGGTAGAGGGGTGCGGAGGAAGAAGCCAGGGGAACAGTGAAACAGACAGAGCAAAAAGGCAATGAGCGAAAACTGTTCAACAACATACTCATGGTGAAAGAGGTCATTTGAACCAAACAGCGAAAGTGAGTGTGCACATTCAGGAGTTTTATTGTCTTTTTAATTAAATCTCAAATTACATTGATCCCATTAAGTAAACATCTTAATAGAAAATCAAAAGTGGAAATTTGTTCCTTCAAGCTGTAGTGAATTCAGTGAATGTTCTGATCAGCTGCCAACATGTCACGGACACATGAAGCCGCTCCAAACCGCTGCACTGAATATTCACTGGATCTGCAGTTGATTTTGTTTCACTCTAAACCCTCTGGGAGAAAAAAGCAGCTTCATGTAAACGTAATGAGCCGTCCAGCCTGAACATGCATGTGCATCGTGGCCCCAGCTGCCTGTTAAAAGCAGCATTTTCTTAGTCATTTTTTGAGAAGTGCACCGCCTCTCGTTCCCCCACCGCTCCTTTTTAACGGGAGAGAACCAGCAAATTATTCCTGAGAGTGACCTATTTTCAGGAGGAAAATGAGCTTGTTTCAGTCCCAGAAGTGGCAAGAGCACATGTACAAGTCAAATGGGAGCTGTCTGCCCTGATCACGGGGCGGTAAAAACTCAAATTTGAGAAAATTGTCACATCCAGATCTTTGAGTGAGGGCTTCAGTCTGTCAGCTCATGTGCTTGGAAATTATTTTGGCCTGAAGGCATTTCGTTTTCTCCTCTGGCAGAGGAGGGGAAGACACGCACCGAGAGCAGCTACTGACCGCAGAACGAACCCTGCTGCTCAAGGTGGTTTGATAACGAGATGAACTGATGGACATGGCGTATTAGTGACGCAGAAAGAGAGACTCACTGTCCACCAAAGTCGATGTAGAACCAGCGTTGCAGGAGTTCATAGGTTACCAGAGTCACTCCGAACTGAGGCGAGGACCGAAACACTCGTGCTGCAGGAGCAAGTGAGAAAAGACTTGAATCAAGTTCACAGTATCATAATCTACACAAGTACATGTACACGTAAAGTGTCATTTTGTGAGTAAATGATAATGATTGAGGGTACCTGAGATGAGATTATTTATATTTTTCATTATACGTTTCCTCATATTATTTATGGCGAGATTTTAGTTAGAAAATCTGGAAATAAAACTTTGAAAGTCACGTTCACTACAGCTCTTCTTTTTGACTTCATCATTGTACCTCCAGCTCCTTTCCAGAAAGCACGGGGCCCCTCTTCTCTGAGGATCTTCCAGAAGCAGTCCACCAGGCCGCTGTAGGTGGTCTGACCGGCACGTGCCGCCACCTGTAGCCTGGTCTTGATCACGTCTGCTGGGGTCACCAGAGAGGCTGCTGGCATGCCTGGAAAGAGAAAAAAATACAAGAGCTGTTGAGTCGCATGATTTTTTCCCCCCTTTTCTTAACAGTTGGATGTGTTTGATTCTAAATAGAGCACATATTTAAAATCAGCCCCAACCAAATGAGATGATTTGTAGGAAGCAGCCATCAGCGTCTGGCTGAGATCTTGCATATCGTCCTAATAGCGTCTGATAGAGTGGTTTTAACGTTCTTTGTTCCCTCTTTTAAAACACCTAATCTTAGAGCTTGACCATCCTGCTGCAAGTTGGCTGCATACATACACTGTATACAAGTAGGGGCCAATTTCCATCAGTTCACCATCAACCAATCCATATTACCAGCAAGGCCATTATTTAATCTCTACCTTTTTTCTTCCTTTCCTCCCTTTCCCACCCTTTTTACAGCTTTTTGAAAGGGGCCAGACAATAGACGGTAATGACGGCAATGCACACTGTGCCACACGTACCACTGAAAGTGACTGGCTGACTAAAGGGAGTGACTCTACCCCCCCAACACACACACACACACACACACACACACACACACACACACACACTCACACACTCCAGCCACTTCAGCCATGAATGTGCTCAATCATTGATGGCTTGGTCATTACCATCAACTGCCCTCTTGACAATTTACACTGACTTCTTGGTATTTGTAACAGCCAAACGAGCTATTCAGCGAGCCTGATCAACTCAGCGGAGACTGACCACCTGCCCTGAACTGAGGAGAGGAGAGGGGACGAGACAAGAGGAGACGAGATGAGGACATGTGGGGCAGAATTATTAATAGAAACAAGTGATCGGAAGATGTAAAAACTCTGACCTTATTGAAAATTTCATCCAAATCGTACGTATTTTTGTTTTGTTTGCCTGAGAATGGACCCTTTATATTTAAATACTTTATATTTACCTCGGGAGTGGATCCTCTCTATGGAGGCCGCCATGTTTTTTTACTGTAGTCCAAACTGGACAAACTAAACACCTTTTGAGTTTTTATGACAACTGAAGGCTACCACAGGTTCTTTTTCATGTTTGGTCAGGAGTATTCAGCTGCAACATGCAAGTTCACCACTAGATGTCACTAAATTCTACACACTGAACCTTAAACATTGACAGAAAATCGAGGAACTAAATGTTGAAACGTAATGATTGAACGATCACAAAAATAGTTGCAGATTCGTTTTCTGTCAATTGACTCATCAATAAAATAACAGTTTCACTTGTATTTGACGAGAATAAGAATATTATTTTAATATAGTTAAAAATAATGGGTTGACCAAAAATAAATCATCAGATAACTCATTCTCATCAATATTCATTCTTCATTCTTTCTCACAACCCATAATACAACCAAAAACTCCCTCCATTACTCACATTTGCAAATAAAGAGCTAATGTCACGCGGAGATGTCCAACACTGTTCTTCACAGAGCAGAGTATTGCCTCACTAAATAATGCTGTGCAAACTGAGCGTGTAATTCAATTTCCTGCGCTGCCTGTAAAAGACTAATTGCCAGAATGCTGCAACCGCTGATAAATATATACGTGACAGAAGGATGATAAACGTGTCGCAGTAATGAAAAAAATAAAGAAATCATGAGGCTCCTCTCTGCTCGGAGTCTGTTGGCCGTGGCTACCAGTCTTGTGGTGAGAAACCGGAGTAAAAATGGAGGAGGGACGCTGGATTTATGAGTTTTCCGTGTTGTGCTGTGCGCTTTTGCGTCAAGAAGCGAGTGCTGCTGACACATCTCGGAGGACTCAAAACAAATATTGAGTCTTTCATGCAAATGTTGTAAAGCTTCTTAACTTGGCCTGAGAGCATTGGGCTGTTATTAGTGTTTTCTTAAGGATAAATCCAATATTAAGACTCGGCTTTGGATGGATCATATTTTCATGCAGAGGATAAAGTTGTTAATTCATTGGATGTTTTGGTCTCCTTGTTCACTGCACTAAACTGAAGCGTATACAGATTGGACTGTATACATGCATGCAGTGTGGACATGTATAAAGTATGCACAAGCATGTTTGTGCAGGGGTGTGTGCTTTCTTTACATGCCTGTGTATGTGCATGTACAATATATTAGGGTTGGAAAGACTCCCTGCCTGCCTGCTTGGCAAGCATGTGAGGCGCTTCCCTGCAGCGGAGCTCCAAAACCCCAGTCCCCAATCACCGAGCAGCGTTCTAATTAGCAGCTACCGCCATGGAGCCTGTGGTCAGAGGCTGCCTGGCTTTCAGACTTCGGGCTCCGCTACTGTTACTGTGACTGCAGGCTTGTGGAGGTCTGAGGAGAAAGCACAGGGAGACCTGCTTTGCAGACTTTGCATACAACTTGTCAGTGCCAAAGATTGTATTTAATTAAGTTCTCGGCTCTGCACATTGTGTCAGTGATTGAAGCTGACATTTCTGTCTCAATGTGGATTTACAGATATTTATATAAAAATATATTTTCAAGAAAGTCATGTGGACACTCTACAAGGCAAAGTTATTAAAATGAAACATGGGATTATGTTGACTCTAAACAAGCTACCAAGAATAGCACTGTGTAACAACTGTTCTTGGCATCATGAGATATAACCAATAACATTTTCTTTCCTCATTCCAATATTGTTTGATTATTAATGCTCTTATCCCCACAGATTTAAAATCTATTTTCCACACTACAGAGAGTCCAGGGAGTGCTGTGCCACTTCAACGGAGACTGTGACGCTCAGTGAGAAAATGAAGCCTACTGATCGTAGAAACATCACATTTTTTAATAACATAGATAGTATTTAATTTAGGTAAAACATGATACATCCCATACAGCCAGTAACAGCCTGATAATCATAAGTGCATCTTTTTTCATCATGGACAAAGAGAATTCATCCTAAAGGAGGTTATATTATTGTCTTAATCTGACAAAGCCATTCATATTTTCTGAATCATTCTGCACATTGGACTGTTTCAGGTTTAATGCTACCTGCAAGAATCCAATTATAATTAGCATATGTTCCTATAGACTCCCTGCATAGAGCAACCTGTAGTACAGAAATTAATAATGTTTACTTGTCTTCTCGGGTCTAAAGATTACCAGAATATAAACCAAGGAATATTTACTTTTAATATTTTATGAATTGACAATTATGTGATTATACATAAACTGTGTGTATATATTTGCAGCAGGTTTATGTGAAAACTACTGATTTTCATATAATTTTGTGAAGGAAGGAAAAGCCCATGAAGTTCTGAAGTGCATCTGGTAAACAGGCGAATCCAGGTAAACTTTTAACTTTTTTGAGATGGGGTGTTAGGAGGTATGAGCTCTATGACCACTCTTTTTTAAGGATAAGGAAAGCATGAATTTGCCCTTGCCAGCTAGTGTAGCGAGGCAGTAAAGATGAAAGCTTTTTACCTGCCAGAGCTCCAGCAAACAGCATCTTGGCTGGCCCTATCCTCCCATCCTCCTCAGTGAGGTAAGCCTTGATGTGAGCGTAAGAGGGGAAGTAGATGGCTGAAAAGGGGATGTCCCGCAGAAAACAAGCCTTGGAACCCTGAAGACAGAGAAGCAGAGGTATGTCAGTTCATCATATCTGATTTGGAAGTGAAATCAGCAGAAAGGGGAGCAGAGAAACAGTGATGGAGGTTGGGGGGATTCAAAGCCTTGACTTCAGGCTCTGAGCTCTGAAGTTGTTTTTTCTGATGTGAAACCATCAACATCACAAACCAGATATTCAAGCATTAACTATTTCCAAAAGTCTGCTGGATGGATCTTATATAACAGAGTGAACTATTGATCAGAACATGCAACAGAAATCACGTCTCTCCATAAGCAAACATTGTGCGTTGTCAATTGCAGGTGAGGGAGAGGAGACGGCTCCAAAAGCAAAGCTGACAGGAGGGAAAAAAAAAAAAAAGAGTGTGAAAAGCAGAGGAAGACAGACTGGCTGAGGAAGATGGCTCCTCGTCTGCCACAGTAAACAACACTGTATCATCAAGACTATTGAGTTTCCTGCTGTATTTCAAGCCTGTTGGCACGCTGCCACCGTCTTGATACAGCGAGTACAGTCAACAGAAAGCGTTTAATGAGCTGGGCAGGGTCTCGTTTTGGACAGGCTTCATTTAACTCCTAAGGATAATCCTTTGGTTCCTCTACACACACAGAGAGAGAGAGACAGAGCGAGAGAGAGAGAGGATTGGCAGATACCTGGGCTATCTCTTTCTCTATCCTCTGGCACTTCTTGTCTGCCTGTCCCTCCTGCTCACTGACCGGGGCCCGAGCAGCTGCTGAAAGCTGGGAGATTCTATCGAGGTGGGACAGACGAGCAAGCGTCACAGCGACTGAGAGAAGAGGCACTTGCTGAGCAGCTCCATAGAGTATTAGAATCCTTTTGCACCAAGATGAAATTATTTTGTTGAGTAAGAATGTGCTAAAATGCCTCTGATGTACTTCTACGTGCAAGTGAACTTTATGTATGGTGACTTTAAATATTTTAAACATCCTCTGGATCCATATTCGTACAATGACAGTTTCCACCCTGCAAGGAATGGTGGCGCTAGTGCGTTAGCCACCCTACCAACCGGTAGCTCCACCAGCAGAGGGTGAGCGTCAGGATAATTACCCTGACAAAGGCAGCTCTGTGCCTGGGTGCAGCCCCTCCGGAGCCAGCCCGTCTGGGGCTTGCAGGCTTGAGCTCGTCTCCTCCCCACCTCCCCGCCACCACCAACACCGCTACTGCTTTCTCAATGTACTTTGTCTCCTCTCTGCGCATAGACCAGCAGATGAATGCAATGAAGCGTGTGCATGAGCGTGCACGCACTGACACACACACTCCTACATAGTCATAAATAGCTGTGAGTGAGCACACAAACACACCGCCACAGGAACAGGTAGGCAGGTAGACGCAGACAAGAGGAGGCTCCACATTCTTTTACAGCCTCGTTAACAGAAGCAAAGCTTTACATGGAATTTGTATGACCAGTGTTAACACAACCTCCACAGATACTCCAGGAAAACATCAATCAATAAGTGTTCAATGTCAAAATCAAAAATCTGACTTTTCAAATTGAAGTCCTGATTAAGGACGGCTTCATTGAAAAACTTTTTACCACTTGGGAATTTGACAAAGTGTCATCATCTAACTTAAGCAAAACGGGTCAAATTAACACAACCGCAGGTACGAGTGTGACATTTTCAAAGTTGATTGTGTTTACAGTCGGAGCAGAATCTCTCCTGCCAAGCTCCATCAGCACTTATTTTTGTAATTAAATTAGGCTCTGTTTCACCCTGAGGGCTAATGTCCCTGTGTAGCCCGTTAAGCCGCTAATATTAGTGGTAGCCACTGATTCCTACAGCTCTTCAGTCGTTAGTAGTTTTTTTTTTTAAACACTGTGGCTGTGGACCGCACTGGTAAAAACAGACTGATGTTAGGAGTCACAATATTTATTAGGAAAATGATTATGAAAATACAGGAAATAGGCTTTAAAAAAACGCAACAACACAACAATATTGCCACATTAGTGTGACACTGTAATCTTTCACGCTTGCTTTACTATGTGTTGGTGCATAATATCACACAGGCCTAATATGTTCAAACAGTGCACTGTAATTTTTAGTCCTGTGCCAATGAAAAATACCAATTATGGCAATTAAGGTTAAATACAGCTTTTAGCATAAATTGTGCCTTTTCTCGTTCTTGAAGAGAAGATCGTGTGGAATTGTTGATTTAAATGATAGCTGATGTAGGGTAAGGTAATATGTTTGATTGTACAATAGTTAATAGAAAAATCACATATAATTTAGTCACAACAGTAATGAGAAATAATGGAGTGTTGTGAAGTTGATAAAAATACAATAGAAAGGATACTGGACGTCTAGATTTAATCTGATGATTAATTTAACTTGGATTTATGGTTATATATATATATATATATATATATATATATAATAACAATCTGTGCTTCTTAGCTTAGCAAAGAAAAGAACTGGTGCTCTCCAGAGTACAGTGTTTAGTTCTTCTATCATTATCTTGGTCAATGTTCAATATTTCATTGAAATTTCACAGTCTTACATTTTAACTGCTGAGAATCAATGTTTTAAACCATGTCAGCAGCAGACAGCCCTCTCCATTGCTGCCCTCTCTCTTAAGAACTCTCTCTCCAAACTAATAAGAAACTGCACCAATTCTGGCGGTTGTGGCTCAGGAGGTAAAGCTGGTTGTCCACTAACCAGAAAGTCTGTGATTAGATACCATTCGTGCTGCAAAGTGTCCTGGGGCAAAACACTGAACCGCAATTTCCTCCTGATGGCTGTTCAGGCGGTGTGTGTGAGTGATGTACTGATGCACTGTATGAATGTGTGTGTGAATGGGCAAATGGCTATTAATATTATTATTATCACTCACAGATATCAGCTCCCAAAACATGTCAGATTTTTTTCATTCAGATCAATCAACTCTAGGAAAATGGTGAAAAGAATCTCACAATGTTAAAAAAATTCCTGGATGTGCAGCCTGATCCAGATCCACAAAAAACATTTGGTTCCTCCCTGACCCATATACTAGATCCATTCACAGAGTTTTGTGAAAATCCATTCAGTTGTTTTTGTGTAATCTTGCTGCAAACAAACAAACAGAGAGACATGACCACCATGTCTGTATGGTGAGAGCAGCTGTTTTCTACAGGCAGCAGTGTGAGCCATGACAGTGCCCACACTACACTGGAATCCTACAACGGTTAGTAGCCAAAGTTCAACTAAAGTGAACACTGAGTTCCAAAATATGTGTGTGTACAGTGGGATCCTGGGATACTTGATGGGCGGCAACTGTTGCGGCAGTGACAAAACATTTTCTTGGGCACTTTCAGTCTGTAAAAGACAGTGACAGCAGAGTGATGACAGACAATAGGGTATTCCATTTAGGAACATGGAGTCCCTTCTCTCTGCGACAAACAGTTATAATTTTACAACAGAGAAAATTGCAGGAATAGTTTATTTTGTGCATCTCTGAATTGCGCCAATGACATAACTCTACTCTCTGATTTTAAAAAGGACGTGAGCAAAAAATCTCAAGCACATATAGTGGACAAAGTTTCAACGCTATTGTCATCTAAAATTCAACTGAATACACATTACAGATTATCTCCAATTTTCTGCCTAAAATTCAGTCTTACTGAATATAGGTTTTAAAAAATGTTTATTAGTTAAAATTCTGGTGCAACCATATCACATCAAACTAAATCACACGTTCCAGTCCTGTAGGTAGAAAATGTCGATCAGAAATAGGGTCACCCAGCAGGTATTACAACACAGGGGAAAACAGCTCCAGTTGCATTGTGTGTGTGATGATCTTTACGCGACCTCAACAATGGTTCCCACCTTGTAAAGTCCAAAAAAACCCAGGTCCCTGATGACAGACAGGGCGCTGACTCTTGGCCCCGTGGTGATCTCTCCTGCCACCTGCAGACGAATCTTCACTATCTCCAGAGGGTTGGTGAAGATCACCTGAGAGCCTCCGGCCTGGAGGAACACAAAGACCAAAAGAAAGAAATCAACAGAATGAAGGATTGTATTACGATAAACTGGCTGCTGCAAATTACACCCACTTTAAATGTTAATATTGTCTGTGTATTTCAATGTGACATTTGATGTTTTCTGCTGAAGACTTTTTTTCATCCCAATAAAACCACTATGACACCATCAGGAGAGAAACAGTTTCTGATACCGAGCTTGTACACACACTCGCAGCGAGTGATGTAATTTATCAATAGTGCTGCCTCAGCAACCAGCTGCACAACAAACATGTGGAGACGAGGAGAGTCCAGGAGTGTGCCGGGAAATCCAGCTGATGCAGCCGAGTCTTTCAGCTGTTTGTCTTCCTCACCCGGACCCAGCAGGGACTCTCCCACTTCCCCTTTTCCTCTCTAACCTCTCACTTTGGGCCCCTGTGCAAACCTGTACTTGTGGAGGGAGGGCAACAATACTGCAGCAAGTTCAGGCCGGTTGCTTTGCCTTGTAGGTCGGCAGAGCTTTTAAGTGTAAGAGGTAGCTGCTGTGGTAGAGCTGCGGCGAGACAACAGGTTAAATGACAGCATTTACAGAATGCTTCTAGATACTGAGAGATGTTTACGCCGATTGTAGAGTTTTTGTATTTGCAAAGTTTACTTCTTCCAACTTCTTCTCCCATCACTGTTTGTCTATTTCTGTTCCTTTTGTTGTTGTGTAACCATTGTCCCTCTCTCTCCCCCGTCACGTTCATTCTTTGACCTTCACTCAAACAATCTCCCTCATCTTTTCTAATATTTTCTCTCTCCCGCTGCGGTTGCTAGTGGTTACTGTAGCTGCACACTAAAGGGTGGAACATCGCAATTAGATAGCAATCGGTTGCCATGGCGCCACTTCTGTCTTAAATAGGCCTAGTCTGTTTGTTGTTGTTTCTCTCCTTTTCTCCCCCCTCCTTTACTCGGCCCTTTATGAATGATGGATTGTGCTTGTTGCCTCTTGCCTTTTGGCGAAGGCTTCAGAGAGGAGAAGGGAGAGGCAGAGATCATAATCGTCTCATTGAAGGTGTGTGCGGCTGCTTTTTTTTGCTGCTGGAGTGTAGTGGGCTACAGCTTTCCTTCCAGATCCAGCGAGGGGCAGTGAATAGCAGGAGGGCTTCTGCTCCGAAGCTGCTACTTCTCACAGCTAACTCTTTATGACTTGTTTTATGGAAATAACCTAGCTGATTACATGCTGCCTAATAGTGTGAGCATTAAGAGGCTATTGGCTCCAGACACAAGCAGTGTTTTCTTATTCAATTGGATTCTAATGAGACTGGAGATGGAGATGTAGTGAACTCAAGGACCATAAACAACAACATTGTTCAGACAGATGAGGCGACAATTAGGTGTGAAAACAAGAGATAAAAGGGGAGTGACAATACTGGGCTTTTTTTGTGCACGTCACCGTCCTGTGTTACGACTGTGGAAAACAACTTGTCCAGTGTGAGGACGGAGATGATTAGAACAAAGAGAATCGAATGAATAAACAGAAAGAGAGCTAATGAGAGAGGGAAAGATGGTGAGACAGAAACAGAGAGAGGAGTAGTCAAAACAAGAGAACTGAGAGAAGGTCGAGGTTGAGGCAGAGAGGTTGAGGGTTGTGATTATGGAGCGATAGCGTTGGTGGATTCCCAGGTAATTACAAGGCAAGGTGAACCTTAGAAACCTGGGACGTCAGCACCTTATGCACGCATCACAGCTCCTGGCCATTTGTGTGTGTGTGTACTAGTTTTGTTACCTCTTTAAGACCTTTTCCAATATAAACACTGACCTTGTCCAGACCAGTAGACGTCATGAGGAACGAGGCTGGTCCTGTGAGGCAAAATATAATTTCTGAGGTCCTGGCTAAGGTTAAAGGTAAAATGGGTTAGGGTTGAATTGTGGTAAGGTTAAAATTAGGGTTAGGCACGAACTTGTAATGATATGGTTAATGTTCGGGATAAGATTTTGGTTCGGCCGTCCAGAATGAATGGAAGTCAATGCAAAGTGTGAATAAGGATAGCTGCTTGTGTGAGTATGAGTGTATGAGTGTGTGTGTGTGTGTGTGTGT